GTCACCAAGGTGTGTTTCAGTAAGCCTTCAGGCTGTGACCCTGCAGTCAGCGCTGGCTGTTATTTCATGTCAGCCAAGGTGGTGTCACCCAATAATGCAGCCATCCGCTATGAGATGACAGGCTCTTCGGATGGATACATCTCAATTGGATTCTCAGATGATCAGATAATGGTAATGTAAAGATAAAATGCTTGAATCTATGAGGTGTTTTACAGTATGTTATGTAATAACTCTAAAGATCTTGATATATTTGTTGTAACAGTGCACGTGTAGGCAAGCGACATCAGTGTTGTTCATATACTTGTGTGAAACAAAAATGAAAACAAACATAAATGTATTATTTACAAATACAAAGGAAACTGCTATGTAAAGAGCTCTGAGTGACCACTGTGCACCCTTGCCTACATACAGTAAAAAAGTAAAGTTAAAAAGTATATTCATTATTGGGCATCTCAGGTCCAAATCATCCATCATTAACATCAGATACACAGGTGTAATATACAGACATAGCGATCAAAGGCACAACAAACAGAAGTGAATCATTAAGAAAAGCAATTGTATCATATTCAATGTGGCTCATTTACTTATGCCAAGACTGATTTAGTTCCTCATTGAAGATCAAGGGTCAGCAGGTTTTTACCTTGGAAATAATAGGAAATAAAAATGATATTTAATGGACTATCAGTTGGTCATTGTTTCAGCCTTACCATATGTTGCCTAAGACTGTGACTAATGGCTAGATTTCAGTTTTTGTGTACTTTTATATGTGACTACCTTGGCTCACAAATATTTATTGTGGAAGAAATGTCAAATTTTGACCCAATCTAATATTAAAATCACATGTCATGTCATTTACTGAGCATATTCATACATTCCAGGTAATTAATCATCAATGCTCTATTCCTAAAACCCTGCCTGACAAAACATTACAAGTATGTTGTTTGATCTGTGCAATTTTCAATGGCTTAAGAGAATATCAAAAAGAATGGACCGATTGCTTATGTTTGAAAAAAGCCAAATCTAGGCAAAGCATTCATTGTTTAAAATTAATTCCTCTTTTTCCACATGCAGGGAAACGATGACATTTATATCTGTAGCAAAAGCAGTACTGGTACAGTGGTGTTGCAGCATGCATTTTCAACAGGAAGAAAATCTCCAACACCTGTTTCTCTGGTACTGAAGTTCTTACTTTATATCTGAATTTTGTTTGATTGATCATGAAATGCTTAATGCTCTGTCCCTGCTCTTACAATGAGTGAACTATACATGTACTGTAACTGTATGGATTCAGTTTGATGCTAAAATGATTTCTAACTGTCCATCAGGGGAATGTTTCTGATGTAATAGCTTCAGTGCAAAACGGGGTACTCAGCTGTATCTTCACCACCACGAACAGTATTTCTACTCAGAGGTCCACTGGCTCCGACAGTACCTACTATATCATGTTTGCCTACGGACCCGCCAGTAATGGTAACGTGTACTTTGGATAATGGTGGAGAATGATGCATTTTTCTGTGACCAGGGATGAAGATGTTAACCACGAGTAATTTGCCTCTACTCACAATTAAAGTCTGTCAAACTGTCAGTCCTAGATTAAGGTGTTCATCTGTGCCATAGCCATCCATTGGTGTTCAAAAACACAGCAGATCAATGTGCCGCTGCACTGGCTGACATGTTTTCTCAGTACAAAACATCAGACCTTGATATAAAAAAAAAAAGTTGCCCCAAAGACTCTGAACAGCTATAACTTATCACAGAATTAAGGACCCATGCAC